TTCCTTTAGCCAAGAAATGAGACTTATCAAGAAAGAGCTTTCAGTGAGAAACATTGGGGAGGTAGAGCAGTGGAGCTAGACATGAGGGAAGTATGAAAAGGACAAGGAGGTAATATGACCGGGGCCTGGATTCTCCAAGTCAGAGGAGGAGATGTAGTCAGTAGATAAAAGGCAGCAGGCTATGACAAAATTTTGAACCATCGAAATGGGGCACTGGGGAAGAGAAAAGCTGGATGTCGTCGGCATAAAATGGGCCTTCAAGGTCAGATGGCAGAAAATGTTAATTCAGAATGACTATGAGGACTCTCTTAGGCCTACTGTGAAGAAATCACTGTAAATGTCCCTTTTTAAGTCCTTGGAAGATTCAGTTTGAATTTTCTTTAAGAGGGTATGCCCCCATATAGTCATTTATTGGAAGTAACTCAGCCTTTCAACAAAAAAAAGTAACTGTCTAACAAAGGGTACTACAAAAAAATCCAATTGATACAAACAAATTAAAGAATATTCCTTTGAGCTTCAGTTTCCTCATCTGTAAAATAGGGACTATAATATTTTATACTATTTACATTCCTGAGTTATTTCTAGGAAAGCACTTTATAAAACCTTAAAGGGCCCCAGTAATGTGGGTTGTTGTTGTTATTATTGTTGTTACTTAGCAGCTAGATGCCCGGTGGGAGGGGGAGCAACAGCATGGTAGAGGAGGAAGAGAGTAGGTTTCTCAGCAGGAGATCTGGCTTTGACTCTCAGCTCTACCACTAATTCACTTTGACTTACTTATTTGTTGTCTATGGGCCTCAGTTTTCCCAACAAGGGAGTTGAATGGGACAATCTTGCTAAGGTCTCTTGCAGTTTTCAATTAAGGAGTTTCAAGTTAGCCATCCTACAGACACAACTCAAGGGCCATACTCCTCTCCATCTTCTGCTTTCTGTTAAGTTGCATGAAAAGGGAAATTTGATCTCTGAAGAAAAGGAAATTGAAGACATCTGGGGAAATGACTCAGGTGCTAAGCAGAGGAGACGATGAAGTAGATTACTGCAGCCGCTCTACTGAAGCTAAGGGACCTTAAGAAGGGAAGAAAGAGCGGAAGGTTCACTTCAAACCTATGAAAGAAAAAGACACAGTTAAGGCAGAGTCTTATTAAAAGGATCATTACGATACCCAGTTGGCCACAAGTCTTTGCATTGTTTAAGACTTTTTTTTTCCCCCTCAATTATACATTCTATTTCATAGAATCATCTGCCTGGAACAGAAAGGGACCTCAGAGGACATCTACTCCAAGACTTTCATTTTATAAAGAAGGAAACATCAGCCCAGACAGGTTAAGTGACTTTTCTAGGGTAGATGGAATGGAGTAAACATTTATTAAGTGCCTGCACCATCCCAGACACGGTGCTTAGCGCTTTACAAATATTATCTCTTTAGATCCTCTTGACAACCCTGGGGGAGGAGGGTTAGTGCCATTGTTATCCCCATTTTACAGTTAAGGAAACTGAGGCAGGTAGTGATTAAGTGATTTGCCCAAGGTCACACATCTAGTAAATGTCTGAAGCCAGATTTGAACTCAAGTCTTCCTGACCCCAGGTCCAGCTGTCTAATCATAGTGCTTCCTAGCACAAGTAGCAAGCATTAGAAATAGAATATGAGCCCAGGCCTTCTGACTCCAGAATCAAAGCTCTTTCCACTTAGCCGCATGTTTCCTGATTTAAATGTTTATGGTTATATTAATAGTGGGGGGGGAGGGAAGCATTTATTAAGTGCTTACTATGTGCCAAACACTGTACTAAGCACTGGGAGTACAGATAGAGAAAGGAAACAATTCTACCTCACAAAGTTCATGTTCTAATTGGAGGAGACAATACGTAGAGGACAATTCAGTTTCGAGGCAGATGGAAAAGCCAAGTGTCCTTAGGGTTTATTGGCAAAGCCAAGGCTACATGGGTAGAGCAGAAGGCGATGTCCGTGGGTCCAAAGTTAAAGCAGGAGGAGTGATGTAATCTCTTCTTATGTCACCCATTTCTAAAGCCCCCAGAATTCTTGAATATGTATTCACCCTGAGTTGGTTGATTTTTTCACTCTAATATAGAGGTTCAAGCCATTTGTCCTTAGAAAAAAAAATAATCTCCCATTTATATAAAACCCCATCTTTTTAGGCAAAAGATATGTATATAAAAGCATGCAATCATCTTTAACTAAATTAACTGTAACTATGTAAAAACCTGGTTGTTCAGACCATAACCAAGACACAGTGGCAGTTTATCCTAACTACAGACAAAAAATCAGGAGAAACTGATGCTGAGTGAAGTGAGCAGAACCAGGAGAACATTGTACATGGTAACTACAACATTGTGCTATGATAAACTATGATAGCCTTAGCTCTTCTCAGGATACAATGATCCAAGACAATTCCAAGATGTGTGATGGAAAATGCTAACCGCATCCAGAGAAAGAACCGATGGAGTCTGGATACAGATTGAAGCATACTATTTCACTTTCTTTGTTTGTGTGTGTGTATGTGTGTGTGTGTGTGTGTGTGTGTGTGTGTGTATGTAGTTTTTTTTCCTTTTGTTCAGTTTCTTCTTTTGTAATATGATTAATGTGGAAATATGTTTGACATGATTGCACGTGTATAACCTATATCAGTTTGTTTGCTGTCTTGGGGAGGGAAGAACAGAGGGAGAGAGGAAGAAAAGTTTGGAACGCAAATTCTTATAAAATATCAATGTTAAAAACTATCTATACATGTAATTGAAAAAAATACTATTTACAAAAAAAGAAAAACAATCAGAAGAAAATGTCATAAATATTATGTAAGAGGATGAGTCGACTTGGGTCTCCCTGGTGTTCACACATCTGGATGTAGAACGAACATGAACAACTCAGAACTTCATCCAGAGGGGTGGTATACATAATCCCAAACATCTGGTTCTATGGTCCAATCTGGATGTTTGGCAATGCATAGACAAAGACTTTCTTTGCAGAACAGTCAGCATTCAACAGATGCATGTCAAGGAAATGATTGACTGGGATAAATGGAGAAGGGACTGGATCTTGCAGTTCTCAACCAGATATTTTGGCTTCATGCAGCCCCAACTAGTGCCTGCTAAGCTCAGGTGAGACCTTTGAATGATGAGCAGCATCACCCCAGACTCACCCAGGGCACCTTCTTACACCAAATGAGGTCTTGAGCTGAAGCCCAAACACTTGACAGCTATGCTAGCCCACTCCCAAGTGCCTCTGACAGATGGACTCCCAATCTGCATACATCTCACTCTGACACATGCTGACACCGTTAAGTTATTATTAGTACAGATAATGGAGTTATCACCAAGAAGGCATGCATATTTTTTTTTATGTTGTCACTGCAGATTGTTTTGCTGTTAAGGAGAGATTCTATCAAGCATAAATATTTATACTCAGATGCATGTCAGATACTTTAATCAGGAGCTATGCCTAAAACTGGATTGGACTTAATTGAATCTTGGAGCCAAGCACGAAATCAGCTTCATTTGCTTTGGGGTACTGTGTAGATCCATGTAATCAGTGATCCCCTGGGACAAGAGATCTTTTGGGAAATGGGATACTTCTTCATAAGGACAGGCAAAGTATGCAGAACTTGAGAGACAAGATAGGTGTAAGGAGAAGCCTTGTCTACCATGTCAGGGGCAGGAGCTGAGGTAATAGCTTGCTAGGCCCCAGCAGTGCAAGGCCTCACTCCTCTGATAAGTGAACTTCTTCCCAGGGGCCAGCCCTTTAAACCTTGACATCTCTACGGAGGTGGCTGAGACAGGGCCAATTAACCCCATTTGTCTCAGAGGTGTTGGGACAGGGACAGCTGACCAGGAGAAGTAGCAGAAAGCCAATGTCTCCTTCCTCCCAAGCCAAGAAGCATCCATCAGAGGATAACAACTTTCATCATCCCTGACGGGAGCCAAGGTCAAGCCTGCATCCCAATGACAAAAAATTTCATATCCTATTACCAATCCTCTATGCAATCCATTCCCCAGGCCCCGAGCAATCTTGAATATTTAGCCTTGGTAGGTTGGCTCTTTCACTTTAAATCACTCCAGACTCCTTTCCAGATAGAAGCCCAAGTCATTTGTCTTTGGAAAAATAAAATCCCATGAAAACAAATTTCTTGGATTTGTGTCCCTTCTGAGAAGCACCAGGGCCAACTTTTACTCAGGCCTAAGAGGGACAGAGGGTCATGCCCTGTAGTTGGTAATCCTGGGAACATAGGTAAAAGCCACAGCTCCTGGACTAATTAGGTGGGAGAGGGACTTTTGGTTTTCTTCTGCTTTTAAAGCCCTTTGGTGATCCCAGATGTTTTAATTACTGAGGAAAGAGAGTGGATGATTCTGGCCATATGTCTCCATTCCGCATAAATAAATCTAGCGGCCATCCCAGCATAGTTCCGCAGCTCCGTCGACAGTCCCTGTAACACTGACACTGTCGGGCCTAATCACCATCTTCAATCCTTCAGTGAGCATGCTAATTCAGGGAACACGGGGACTGCTATTCCATGAAAATACTCAATCTAGAAACAATTAGGCTAACATTGCCAAAAGAGGACTCCTCTGGGAATTTGGATAAGGTCTATGAGCAGCTTCCCTAAGTGGAAACAGCCTATCAGTTGGTTAGCTGGTACAGTATAGACTGAATCACCCTGTCTCAGTAGGCCAAAAAGAACCTCAAGATACCCAAATGGAAAACTCAAAGGAATGTTCAATCCATTGTCCAGAAAAGCCAGGTGCACCACCTCTTTTGCGAGATTCACCAGCTGCATATGTTCACCTTTCTTAGGTAAATTTGAAAAAGATTCATGAGAATGAACTATTATAGGAAAATCACAGGCTCCCTGGAACTTATTTTCTTCATTTGTAAAATAGGAGGATATGAGTTCCATACTTCCGCCTGGTCAGACTCACTTCTGTAGTACTGGTCTCCATTCCAGCTGCCATAGTAACAGAACAAAATAGATAAGGTAGACAGCACCCAAGCAACTGAGAGAGGACAACCAAGTTGATGAAGTGCCTTGAAGTGATGTCATATAAGGATCAGTTGGAGGAACTATGGATCTGTAGCGTGAAAAAAGAGAAAACTTAAGAAAGGAGAGAGGTAGGATTGAAAACCCTCTTCAAGAATTTAAATGGGTTTTATGTAGAACAGAAAACAACAACAACACTGGTTTGGTTTGACCCCAGAGTGCAGAACCAGCATTAACAGGTAAAAGTTAGAGAGGAAAATGTAGGTGTAATACAAAAATCTCCCTAACAATAAAAGCTATCCCCAAATGGAATGGGTTGTCTTGGAAGATTGTAGGGTCCCCCTCAAAGAGGGGTTCAACTACTTGTCAGCTACATTAAAGTAAGGATTCTTTGGGGCATAACTCTGAATTTCAGTTATTCTTGTTATTCTTTGTATAGCTTGTGGGTATAGCCCACAGAGCTCCAAACCCTACCTAGCACGGTATACAGACAAAGACTAGACTGTTACTTACAAATTTTCCTGTTTTTTTTTTGTTATCTAACACTTTTGGACATTTGATTCAAGTTTGTTAACTTATAAATATGTGCTTTTTCAAAGTGACTATGGACAGCCTCATACTTACAATACTAAGACTGAGAAGGTACTAAATGTTTCTGGCTAGTGATGGAGCTCTGCCTTTTCCTCCATGCCAGAGTACTAGGGAGGAAATGACCAAATTCATATGGTAACCCATTGGTCCCATGATTGGGATTTAAGTCATAGTAGCTCTTACTATCACTTTATCTATCTTGGCTGTCTTATTCTCCAACCAGTCAGAAACCAGACACTTCCGAAGTTAATCCAGGCCTCAGTGTCCAGCTGCTCACCATTCTAACAGACTTGAACAAGAAACAGTATTGAAACAATAAAATATTCAGGACTGGAAAAAAAAAAAAGACCAGCAAAGGAACACAAAGGACAATAGGACACATTTCTGAATGAGTAGAATGTTGTTCTAATCTGTTCCTTGCCCACCCCCAACTCAAGATTGTTTGGAAAGCAGACTCATAATCCAAGAAGGGCAACTTTCCTCTGCAGCCAGAGTGATAGAGAAAGAGTAGAAATTTCAGGGTCACAGCCATGGTCAGAAGATCACAGATTTGGAATTGAAAGTGAGCTCAAAAGCCACCTACACCAATCCCCTCATTTACTAATGAGGAGCTGAAGCCCATGTGACTTGTGATTTGCCCAAGATCACACAGCTAGTAAGTGGCTGAAGTGGGATTTAAATCTAATTCTTCTTGAGAACAAGTCCATCATCTCTCTCCATTATACTGCTCCTGTTGTTATCTGCTGTAGACTTTTCATTGTCTGTCCACTCATGCCTAGTCCCGTATATAGCTTCTGGCTTGGCCTGCCTCAAGAAACAATCATAACTCCCAATCTTGGACTTTTTCATATTTCTGGACTGATTTGCTTCTCGTTCTCCCTTGTCATGAACCTTGGCAGAGACTTCTCCATGCCTGGCAGGTGGGGAAATGTTTTCCCAGTGTTGTTTCAATAAAACCCTTGCTTAGTGGAAGCATTTCTTAACCACCCTTCTCTTTTCCTCCTGAGCAGCAAGCTTCTCTGTCTCTGTCTGTTTCTGTCTCTCTGTCTCTGTCTGTCTCTGTCTCTGTCTCTCCCTCCCTGTTTCTCTCTCTCTCTCTCTCTCTCTCTCTCTCTCTCTCTCTCTCTCTCTCTCTCTCTCTCTCTCTCCCTCTCTCTCTCTGTCTCTCATAAAGAGATGGGAGAAAGAAGGGCATATTCACACACAGACCTTATAACTACTGACTGTGAATGACTCAGTCACATACTATAACTAGATCACATAAAAGTTTGAGACATACATCTTCCTCTGAGTCTCCTGTCTTATTTTACTTTATTTTTCTTTATGTCTTTGCTCACTGTCTTCCTTCTATAAGACAGAGACAGGCAGACAGACAAACAGACAGATTTATAAAGCACTTACCAAGTACCAGGCACTGTGTTAAATGCTGGGAATACAAATACAAACAAGATAGTTCCCCACCCTTAAAGTGTGTACATTCTAATGCAGGAAAATGAACAAAGTGGAGAGAGGATAGGGAAGCATGGCATGACAATGGCTCTGGGCAAGACATGACTATAGCTCAAAATCCCAGGGGCAGAGTCCCCTGGTGAGAAGGAGGGAAGAGGGGAGAAGGTAAGGATGATGGCCTGAGTACAGGCAATATGTTGTGAAGAAATGGCAAAGAGCTCAGATTCCAAGAAAGACACGGTCAAAGCTCATCTCTCTAATGTTCTTAGTGGGAAGTGGGGAAAGAATGTGTGGAGGACAGAGGAGGAGATGAGGATGATCCCCAGCATGTGAAGATAGCATGGGGTGGAGATGGTCAGAAAGTGTGTGCTGCATTTTCTTTCTGTTTACTCATTTATTATTAATGGCCATTTTTGGTTATTGTTAGTTATTTTCAGTCATATTTAACTCTTCACGACCCTATTTGGAGTTTTCTTGGCAAAGATGCTGGAGTGGTTTGCCATTTCCTTCTCCAGCTCATTTTACAGATGATGAACTGAGACAAACAGGGTGAAGTGACTTTCCCAGGGTCACACAGCTGGTAAGTGTCTGAGGCTGGATTTGAATTCAGTAAGATGAGTCTTCCTGACTCCAGACCCAGCACTCTATCTACTGGGCTAGCTGCCCTATTAGTGGTCATGGCTTCCTCCAATTTTAAATTCTCACCAAAATTACCTACCTATCATATTTATTCATGTCACCAGTGACAACAACTTCAGAAACTTCTGTTCTAGGAAGATTAAAACCTTCCTCAGAAAAAGAAGCAGGTCTGCTGATATTCTACTGATTCTTTGATACTTAAAACCATCCATGATTCCACCAGTGAAAACACTTCCAGCACTGATGAGGTCCATACACTAACAGTCAGTTCTTCATGAGTTACTGTGGCCAAAAATATTTAGCACCTGGTGGCTGTTTTATTTTAAAAGTTAATAGGCATGCCTGAATCTCTGTAGCTTGTAAACAGAGAGAAGACATGGTCACATACAGAAGAGAAATCAAGAAACATTGCCGAACAATGGGAACAGTCCTAGTTTTGAAGTCATAGGACCCAGGTTCAAATTCTGACTCTTGTCACTTACTACTTGTGTGACTATGGGGAAATTGCTTTACCTGACTGGGTCTCAGTTTCCCTTTCTGTATTGTGAGAGGATTAGATTATATAATTTTCTCTAGGTTCAGCCCAGTTCTAAATCTCTGATCCTAAGAGAAATAATGAAGATCAATTAAATTTTCTATTATGACAAAGCAGGTAAATTAAAGAGAAGTCACTTCCCTCTCTCAAAGTCTCAATCTTCTGTTCAGCAAAATTATTAGAATGGGCTGGATGGGATCTTCCAGCTCTGGCAATCTGTGGTTCCACTCCTTTTTTGAATGAAAAGGCTAAGGACATAAGGATAGGGGCTGGACGTGTGATTTCTCAGGCATGGGGAGTTCCCTTTACTAATACAAGTCAATGCCTTCTGTGCAATTTATAGAATTAAAGAGTTTCCCAGAGTACTATCTAAAAATCAAATACTACCTATTTCCCTCTTTGCTGCCAGGTTCTTAGAGTAGATTTAGCTGTGAGAGTTACACACAATATGGCATCCCAAAACGAGTGTTCATGGGAAATGACCTGAGGAGCATACTTTGGGTCCACCTCATTTAGGCTCAGGGTTTTCCTGGAAATATGGTGCCTCTTATTTCCACACTGGGGAGGGAGTAGAGACCTGGAGCTTGAGCTCTGTTTTTCTCATTCCACAGCACACTGATTCTGTCTTCCTCCAAATGCATTAAAGAGAATGTATGGATGCTGGATCCCAGAATAGAGCAGTTCATAACTACAATTAACCACTATTAATTAATGGCTGAAAGATAAATGAGTCATTGGATCCATTTATCCCTAGCTTGCAAGTATTTAAATTCACAGTAGGATGCAAGCCCATTTTTCACTGCAGTGAATTAAAACAAGTTAGAATAAGGACTGGATATGGCATATTCCAGTCGACTGTTACATCTCACATTCAGGTTTCTGACCCACTTAGATGGCAAAAGGCAAATAGATAGTAGAAAGCTCCCTGAGACTCAGTTTCATCTTTTGAAAAATGGAAGAGATGGACTAGATAATCTGGATAAGAACTCACATTGGCCTGCCTAAAAATAATAACGATAATAATAATAGCTAACATTTGTATAGCACATACTATGTTCCAGGAACTGTGCTAAGCACTTTATGACTTCCTCATTTGTACCTCACAGTAACCCTGGAGGCAGGTGCTATTTTTATCCCATTTTACAGATAAAGAAACTGAGGCAAACAGAAGATAAATTAGTTGTTCAGAATGACACAGTTAGGAGGTATGTGAGGCCAGATTTGAACTCAGGTCTTCCTAACTCCAAGCCCAGCACACTACCCACTGCACCACCTAGCAGTGCCTATGGATTCTAAATGTAGAACCTTTCAGTGTTCTAACGTTCCCATAAAGTACAAAGCTTCTGGTGTGTAAGCAGCCAAACTGTTCCTTCTAGTTCAGGATTGAATCCTGCCATCCTCCCGTCTCCATCCAAAGTTACTCTTCATAACTCTTGTTCTAAAACATGTTTTCTCTGCTGACTAAGGTCTCAATTCTCCCAACCAGTGACTTTTTGATTCCCTATACAAGGCATCATGTAAACAACCATAGCATAGTGGACAGTGTTGAACTTGGAGACAAGAAGACCCAGGTTTAAATACCTCCTTAGTTAGCTATATGACCCTGGATAAGTCACAAAGGTCTAGGTTCAAATCTTGCCTTCAGCACTTATTAGCTATATCACCCAGGGCAAGTCACTTAACCTCTTTGAGCTTCAGTTTCTTCATCTGTAAAATGACAGGATTGGACTTAGTGGCTTTTGAAGTCCCTAAATATATATGTTCCTAAAATTTTATCTGAGCGTCAGTTTCCTCACTTATTAAATGTCATTAATAATAGTACCCATGTCACAGGACTATTTGGAGAAGAAAATGGCAAACCACTCCAATATCTTTGCTAAGAAAACCTCAAATGGGGTCGTGGGGAGGTGGACAGGACTGAAACAACTGAATAACACAAGGTTATTGGGAGGATCAAAAGAGATCATTTAATAAAACACTTTGCCATTCTTAAAGGCCTAGACAAATATGGCTGTTATCATCAGGTAGGCACAAATAGAATCTGGAAAATTAAAAAAAAAAAAGAAAAGCAAGAACTATAAACATACCTGTTCTTCATTAAAATAAAAGGGAATTGTGATTTGTTAAGCATTTGATCATTCAGTTTTATCTGGAGACCAATTTGCCTATCTCTTGTGAGCAGGCATGAGGCAAACACAGCATTTAAAACTCTTCCATTTTATGTTCAAGGTATTTTTAAAGTATTGGGGTGGGGTGGAGAGCTCAGCTCTTTCAAGATAACTGAGGTTTTCAGTGGGTAGAAAAGATGTCTTTTCATAAAAGAAAACTTAAATCTGCTGGGAGTTGGGAGTGTTGCTTTAGTCAAGCAGCCTAGAATTTATCCAAAATCTGAGCTTCTCATCACAGAAACGCAGGCATCCTGGCCATGACAGCTGATTGGAAGAAAATTAGTATAAAGTTTCAGAGAGGGCATAAGAAAGGAATAGTTTCTGTTCTGTTCTGCCTTGGAAGAGGAAAGATAAAGGAAAGACATAGTTTGAGACCTTACTGATTCTAGTAATTTCATAGGCTCAAACTTGAAAGGATATCTAACATGTTGGATGACAGGTTCAGGATCCAAAAAGTTATTGGTGAGATAGAACAATGAACCAAATCTATTAAGATGAGTTTCAATAGAAATAAAATTAAATATGTATGTGTGTGTGTGTATATATATATATATATATATATATATATATATATGTATATGTATATGTATATGTATATGTATATGTATATGTATATGTATATGTGTATGTATATGTTAATGTAAAGTCCTACACTTGGGTTCCAAAAACTAACTTCACAACTACAAGATGGGGAGACATGGCTAGACAACAGTCTATAAGAAGAAAACCTCAAGGTTCTAAAGGGCTGCATAAGAATCAATAGTACAATATAACAGCCAAAATAACCTATAATGATCTTAGTTTGCATTAAGAAAGGAAGAGCATCCAGAATGCAAGAATACATAGTCATTTTTTTACTCTGCTCTGGTCAGATCACAGCTGGAGTATTGCGCCAGTTCTGGGCACCATATTGACAAGTTGAAAGCATTCAGAGAAAGATAACCAGACTGGTAAGAGTACTAGAAAACATATGCAAAGATCAATTGAAGTAATTGGAAGGATTTAACCTAGAGAAAGAGACTTCAGAGAACATAGTAGCTATCTTTAAGTATCTGAAGGTTTGTCGTGATCATCTGTGGTTGTCCAGTTCATCTCTATACTGACCTCTACTCTCAAATCCCTTGACCCTTTGTCCTAGCCACATTCACACCTTGCCAAGCCCCAACTCTGGATCACTCCTACCATCTGAGCCTCTTGCCCTACTCATGTGTTACTCTATCAAGTTAACAGGGTTTGCTATAAATTTGTTACCTAATTTTAAGTCCACACTGAAGTTGATAATCCTGTTTTTTTTCCGTTTATTCTCTATCTCATTACCCAGAAAGGATTTTCTCTTCTCTTTTCATTTCCCATATCACCTCCTCCTCCCACTCTCTCTTAACTGAGGACTTTGCCTCATACTTTACTGAGACCCTTTATAGAGATAATTCACTACGATCTCCATTTTCTTCTTTCTCTTTAACTCAGATACTCTTGGTATCATCCCTTATTCCCGCTTCCTTTACTCCAGTCTCCTTGCCAAGCCCATTCCTTCCCCATGTACTCTTTATCCCATTTCTTCCCATATACTCTAGCAAATTGCCTCTACATTCATCCCTTTCTTCTCTAATCTTCAGTTTCTTCCTATCTACTGATTGCTTCCCTACTGCCCACAAACATGTCCACCTCCCTATCCTTTTTTTTTTTGGCTAAACAATGGGGTTAAGTGACTTGCCCAGGGTCACACAGCTAGTAAGTGTTATGTGTCTGAGATCACATCTGAACTCAGGTCCTCCTGACTTCAGGGCCGGTGCTCTATGCACTGTGCCATCTAGCTGCCCCCACCTCCCTATCCTTAAAAACCTTGCCCTATACCTTGCCATCCCCCCAGGTTTTCAGCCTATACCCTTCCTTCCTTTCACAACTAAACTCCTCAGAAAAAAAAAAGCAAACTACATTTCCTTTCCTTTTATCCTCCTCTCAGCCCTGTACAATCTGACTTTTAACCTCCTCTCTCAAGGGAAACCTCTGTTTCTGAAGTTACTAATAATCTCTTACTTGCTAAATGTCTTGGCTGTTTCTTAATACTTATCCTTCTCAACCTCTCTTTACCATTTGACAGTGTTTGACACCTTTTCCTCCTAAATATCCTCTCCTTTGGGGATTATTATGCACAGTTCTCTTTGCTGTCCTACATGTTTGCTCCTTATTTTTCTTATTTATTGGTTCTTCATCCATATCACACCTCCTAACTGCAGGTGTACCTCAAAAGTCTAACCTCAACTCTCTTCTCTTTTTCTTCTATACACTCTCACTTAGTGGCCTCATCACTTTCCATGGGTACAGTTATTATCTCCATGCAGACGACTCCTAAATCTATAAGTCTAGCCTTAATCTCTCTCATACATCTTTAACTGCCCATTGTATATTTGAAAGAGCATGCCTACTAAGTATCTCAAATTTCATACAACCAAAACAAAACCCATTATCTTGGGGCAGCTAGTGCATAGAACACTGGCCCTGGAGTCAGGAAGACCTAAATTCAAATCCAGCCTCAGACACTTACTAGCTGTGTGACCCTGGGCAAGTCACTGAACCCATATTGCCTTGCCAAAAAAAAGTACCACATTATCTTCCCTCCCCACCCAAAAAAAAACCACTTTTCTTCTGAATTTTTTTCTTCAGAAATCTACATGGCACTACTATCTGTACAGGTACCCAGGCTTAAAATTCACCATCATCTTCAGCTTCCCATTCTCTCCCATACCATATAGCCAATCAGTTGCCAAATCTTATAACTTCAAACATTACACATCTCATATCCGTCCCCTTTTTGCTACTCACAATGTTACTGTCTTAGTTCGGGTCTCCATCATATGGACTACTTCTATAACTTCCTAAGTCTCATCCTATTTCAATTCATCCTCTTCCTAAATTCATAATCTTCCTAAAGTTCAGGTCTGATCAAGTCATTCCCCTACATCATAAACTCTAATGGCTCCCTATTGCCTTTAGGATAATAACAGAAATAATAGCTAATATTTATATTTTTAAGTAAAGAGATTGCTTTATATATTAAATTTTTTACACAATAAATATTTGCAAATTAAAAAACTTTAGAAATATTTACTATATAAGGGCAAAATATATTAGAAATGTGTAAAGCAAAGAAAGGCAAGCCTTTGAATCCTCAGCACCTAGAACAGTGTCTGGTGCATAATGGGACCTCAATAAAATGGTTATTGATTAATTATTGGTTGTTTGGCCAAAGAAGGATTAGACTTCTGCTCAGCTCCAGAAGGGTTCAAGTAGTTGATTGCAGAGAAGCAAATTTAGACTTCATATTGGGAAATCTTCCTAAAGAGCTCTCCAAAAAGGGAGCACACCACCTCAAGAGACAATGGAGCCTCCCTCATTAGAGTTAACTGGACAACCCCTTGTTGAGAAGGTGGATTCATAGGTACAAGTTGGATTAGACAGCCTCTGAATATCTTTCTGAGTTTTTATAAATAGGACTGGATATTGGAGCCTCGTCTAATCCCTTCATTTTACAGTACAGAAACCAAAGAATAGACAGACCTTTACCTATCCACAATCACATAGGTAGTGAATACAGATTCAGTGGTGTCATATCCAAGCTTCTTGGCTAGGATAGGAAATGAGTCAAGGGAACATAGCCTATGAGCATCCCTGCCTCTGGGAAGCAAATCAGAGTATGGTTGCAACCAATGTTTTTGTTCAGTGGGGACTAGTAGCAATTTAAGTTATTTGGTATGCTACAGAGTATGTATTTCTTTAAACCTTGCTCTAAATGGATTTCTTTTAATGATTTCTCATTTATACAAATTAACAAATGAGATTAGTTAAAGTGCATTTTTATCTAAATTCTTAACCAACAATATCAATTTATACCTTCCCTCCAGATATACCTTTAATAAATTTTGGCACATTTATATAGTCTGCATCCATCTCCTTCTTCATGGAGAATTTTTTTTTTTAGCCTGCAAAGGGTAAAAGGAAATTTAATGGTTAAGGTGGAACTAAGCCTAGGATAAGCAAGAAGTTAGTAAGTTGAATACTTGGCTATCTAAATCTGAATCCAGATTCAAATGAATTATATCTTAGCTTACTTATTTACTAAGAGGGGAAAAAACGAATATATTACTGTAGAACCATTGTTGGTGTTCTTTTAGAAATTAGAAAGAGTGAAAGAGGTGCCAGCAGTCTGGAGACAGTCAATTGCTCCAATTTATAAATATGGGAAAATGGTGCATTCCAGAAACTACAGATCAATAAACATTACTTTGACCTCTGGAAAAATGCCAGCACAAATTATTAAATAGATGACTTATGAGTATTTTTAAAAGAAAATAGTTATCACTAGAAGTCAGCATGGGTTTAGAAAGAACAAATTGTGTGAGAGACTGTCTTTATTCTATTTTTAAGTAGTGTTACTAGAATGATAGATCAAAAGAATATCACAATTATAGTACCACACAGTTTCAGCAAGATATTTCAGTCTTTTAAGATATCCTTGTAGAATAGTAATGCAGTATAGCCAGGTATATTTGTAGATGGCTGAAGCAAAGTAATCCTTATTGATAGATCAATGTCAATCTAGAATGATGTCCCTAGTGGAAGACCACAGGTCTCTTTCTATGTGACCAAATCCAGTTGAACATTTTTAACAATAACTTGGGTGAAGATATAGAATTTATACTTAATAAATTTCCAAGAGGCACGAAACTGAAATGAATGGTTAATTCATTGGATAAGGAACTTTTTCTAATATCTATATACAGGATAGAATAATAGGCCAAATCTAACAAGATGAAATTTAGTAGGAAAAAATATAAAAGTACTGAAATTCGATATCTTTTTCAAAGTCAATTACACAAGCACAGGATGAGAAGACTGGACTAAGCAGTAGTTCATCTGAAAAAGGCCAGGGGATTTCAGCTGACCTCAAGTCAGCAGTGTGAGGCAACATGACATACTGTAAAAATGTGGTCAGAGAATTGAGAAATCTAGGTTGTCGTCCCGGCTCTGTCACTATCTATCTGTGTCATCTTCAGAAAGTCACTTGGATTCTCTGGGTTTCAGTTGCCGCATGTGTAAAATGAAGGCGATAGATAAGATGCCTTTGAATGTCCTTTCTGCCTCTAAAACCCCAGGATCCTAGATAGGCAGCGTCTAGGTCAAGGGAGGTAATGGTCTCACTGTCTTCTGTACCAGTTAGATCATATTTCTAGTAGTGCATTCTGCTTGGAACATTGCTATATTATAACAGGTCAAGAGGAATAGACAAACTGGAACACATTAGCAGATCAGAATGGTCGAGGGATTCAAAACCACATCACGTGAGGATCAATTTAAAAATCTGGGGCCATTTAGCCTGGGGAAGATGGAGGGAGGGGACATGGTAGCAGTTTTCAAATATCTGAAGGTCTATCATGAGGAAGAGAAGGAGAACTAATTCTATATTGTTCTTAATGGAATAGCTACCAATGGGAACTGTTGGAGAATAGATTTTATCTCAATAATATAAAGATTGTTATTGTTCTGTTTCTTTTCAGTTGTGCCTGACTCTTTGCAACCCCATTTGGGGTTTTCTTGGCAAAGGTACTGGAGTGGTTTGCCATTTCCTTCTCCAGCACATTTTACAGATGAGGAAACTGCAGTAACCAGGGTTAAATGACTTGCCCAGGGTCTGTCCTCCCCAATGATTAAGGCTATTTAAAAAAAAATGAGTAGTGAGTTCCCCTTTACTAGAAGTGTTCAACATATCTAGACAACCACCTGTCAGGAATATTGTAGAAAGGATTTCTACATGGAGTAGGAATTTGGACGCATAATCTCTAAACTCCCTTCCAACCCTGAGAGTGTATAATTTGACCCCAGACTGTTCAGGACTTTCTTATCTTCAGATCTGCTGCCTTCAGGTAGCTCCTCCTCTTACTCTCCTTAAAAC